TGCATAATCGTTTTTTGTTTGAATACGAAAAACTACAAAAACGCGCACTTGTACAATTTTCACATAGTACAAGCGTGGTCACGTGCTTCGACTCTCTCTTCTGATTTCGCTCGCGCTTGCAGCGGACATTCGCGAGTCTCATGTACTAACTCTGGTAACAAAACATTTCAGACCATCTTCGGAATCTATTATATGTGGGGACTGTTCAGAAGAAGACCTCTGGACCAACATAATTGGATTATTGTTTATTCACTGACCTGGGCCAACGACTAACTATTCTAAAAAGAACAATTGTTAGTGGTCTGCTCCATCTGACCTTTTTATCTTCATATACCCAACCTAGCGTTAGTATTTTCATTTCTTTGCCACACAATTCTGGGTAGCCAGACTACTACGGACTCAAGATTTCAAGTCGTACGCAAAAATAGACATGAGCTTGAAAGAATATATGGAAGGTCGTAGATCAGAAACCGAGGTGTTCACAAAACAGAACCTGGAGGAACTCCAAAGTAGACCCACATGGGAGAACCGAAGTTTGGGCCTACTCCCACTCAGAACTTTTTGTTTGATAGGAACACTTTAATCCAGCGTAGAATTTCCCCCTTTAATCTCGTATGACCAGAGTATGTGGAGCAGCGGGATGTGTGGAACTCGATCAAATGCGTTTAGGAATTCGAAAAATATGGGCCCTTTTATTTGTCCCACGTTCTTAGCTTGGATGGAGCTCTCCACAGATATGAGCATGTTCTTCAGGCAAGAACTGTTAAGGAAGAATTTGTCTTGCACAGGGAATATCAAGTTGTTGGGGGTGAAGTGCGTAAGAAGACCTTCTTCAGAATACGTTCCATCATCTTGCACGCCATGCCGGTAAGGCTAGGAGATTTGTGGCTGCCGGGCGATAGTTAGTCACTATTTACCTGGATCATTTCGTCAATCACTTCTATTCAGGCGTATGAAAGCCTTCCTTCGTCGAGCAGCCGAAGAAACCTTATGCAGAAATTCTTCGACACCGTGAGCGACGTTTCATGCGGGATCCTTGGATGGATCTAATCTAACCTCTGCGCGCACAACGAGTTTGTTTTTTTGCAAAAGCTGACAAATGTCTTCCTTTGTAAAGGCCACGTTTGTTTGAGGCAATCTTGAATGTGACGCGGTTGCTGGGGCAGAATACAGGCCCGCATAGGGTGCCATGCGGACTTCACATACCAATAATGGATCAAATGTGGGCCACTTTTTTCCGCCCTCAAAGAGAGGGAGCTTGGCTCATTTCTCCGGCGGGGTGTCATGTAATTAACTATCGCAGTTTCTCTTCTACCGGATGAAGTCAAATACCTTGACTTCATTACGTATGTTTCATTGGCGGGCTTCCGATTCACAGTCGTTCCGTTTTTTATTGGAAGCCCGTCGTTTGCGTCACTTGTAGTTATTTTTGAGAAAATTGAAGAGACCTCTTATCCAGAAGATGCTGAATTATTTTAAGTACCTTTTTGCCATCCCCCCGAGCACTGGTTTATTCACAGGAAAAATCGCTTCAGGAAAACGGTCCTTTATAAATCTGTTACTGAAGCTGATCCCGGTTCTAATAGCCCAATGAAGTCATTCATTTTTGAAAAGTCAGCGCGGCAAAAGAGCCTAATGCACGTCTGGGGTTCGGGATTTCTGGTTCAGTAGCAGATGAAATCAAGCATCAGCGCGCGGTGGCCCACATATACCATTAGGGGGTTAATAAACATTTAATAAACGAGGTGTTAATCAAGTGACGAAATCATTTGTGTTCGCCTAGTCCTCAGACTGACTCATTACTCTTCCGGTGACCGCTCAAGTTTCAAGACTGAACTATTCTACTTATACTTTATAGTAGCTGTTTCCCATATTAGCCGTTTACATGATTTGATATATTCACACTCACTTCTGGGACATTTTGTCCCATTTTTGACTGCACAACATTTTTCCGGTTTAATGTTTCCGATAGCACACTGCCCTTTATGTGGCACTCCGTGTTGCTAACTATCCAAGTTTCAATCCAGCCATATGCTTTCCTTTATTTCTGCTCGTTATCTAATGTTAATTTCTTACGGAATAACGTTCTACCTACCTATGCTGTGTGCGCACCTCTATTTCAACAAAGTGCTCGCTGCATAGTTGCAACTACTGAAAAAAATGCGTAAAGTTCGAAGAATTCGGTTTCGCCGCAATTATTACTGACCGTCCGTTATTCAGTTGGTCTACTCGCTATCTGTCATATAGGATTCCTAGATCATGAGTTTAGGAAATTAACCAATTTTTTGCCTTGAGATCATGGCCTCAGCACAGGATCGTGCCCGGAGTGTCCTTCATTGGTGACAACCAAATTCAGCAGGGATGGCGGTTGGTTTGCATTCTATCTGGTGAGTTCGACGATATGTTGAGTCTTGAACGACCTCGGTCGGCGCCTATGCAAACTGTCCCTTAGGCCTCACTGCGCTTGAGCACCATCTCGGAGGCCTTTGACGCGTTAAACTCAGCTACCAAGAGCTGTCGAAGTAGTACATGGAGGAGGGTTGCTCAAGTGTTTATGAGGAACTTTTTACCTTGTTGTAGACTTAAATGGCAACGGTTGACCACACATAGAGGAAAAAAGTCGGTTACGTGCAGCAAGATTCGAATCTGCAGTGCATAGCAAAAAAGTGTGAAGGCGGCTTTTGAGAGAACAATCGGGATGGGCAGGGCTGCGTGTAGGTAATAGGCGATCGCATCTTTCCGGGGGTCGAGGTTTTAGCCGAAGCTACCAGACTCCTTGTTTTTGTCCTCTAGCAACTTCCTCTACCCTGAAATTCGGAAGATAAATAACGGTAAAATGGTGCTCTCACAGTCCTCGGCGCTTAATAGTTACAAAGTAGCTTACATAAGAATAATCTAAATGTGATTTCAACTGGGTTTAAGACGCCGCGTAAACAATTGTCGGACTAGCCTTACTCCACGTGCCAATTACCATATTAAAAAAGCCTCTACTAGTGCTGTGTCCTCAAACGTTGAAACTCTTCAAGTTCTAGAGGGGTCAGCGAGAAGGAAACTGCTGAGCACAACTTGCCCAAAATGTGTGTGAGTATGTGTCAGGTCCTCTCTTGGAAGATACTCTAAAGAAGAAAATTCAAGAGCCGCCAGAAGCCCGCGACGATCAACTGATTTGGTTCGGGCAGGCACCTTCGTAGCGTATTGTCGTACAACTTGATTGGGGTTTACTTCAATCGTGTGCACTGGGTGGGTACCTTTGTCGGATAACTCGAAAATCGGCATGATGTAGGCTCCAGGGTGTCAATACCAATAACAAGAATGGAAATGCTTTGGATTATCCGAAGCAGAACTATTTTTGACAGTGAGAACTGTACGCTTGAGGAATGCAGACACTCATATATTTGGCATCCAGGCTGGTAATGGCTCCGTTCTGTTCTCACCCTTACTAAAGTCTTCCTCTTAGTTTCACACGAGCGACATATGTACGCACTTTTAAACACTCGCGGGATTGTCCCTTGAATAAAGCTTTTCAGTTTTCCTGCCGGAGCCTAGTATGTTGACTTGTTTCATTCTGTTTATTGTCGATTTCTGATATACAGCGAATTTAAAATGCCAGTTAACATTCTGCTGCCCGCATAATCATACATGTGAAGAATAGCAGGTACGTTGTTTTCAGAAAACGCAGAATCCACCGCGTGAATTTCCGTCCTTTCGAATGTTCGTTGGTCACGTTGGAACAAAAGAAACGCCAAATTCGCAGTATTTGAATGTTAGCTCTTATGCCTTCTCCACTAAAGCCGGTTTTAGTCCAGGCTACCCAAGTAGGACACGTCTTTCTTGGAATTCTGCGGGGCATAAGTTTCAAAATCACGTTTAAAGTTGCGAGTTTCTGGCTCAGTATCTGGTGAGATCAAGACGTCATGAAATAATCACTGTTACAGAGAGACCTTTATGTCACTTGGTAATAACAAGATTCAATTGGGATAGTAGTCGGCTTATAAGGCATCTGCTGGGTGCGTTGGTATGCTGAGTGCAAATGCATGCTGAAGGACTTTAGCTGGCGCCGAAACAAAGTATCCAATGAACCCGAAGCAGTGAAACCCTATCCAGGAGACCTTGGAAGTGTTGGAGTCACTTACGGTGAGAGGTGAGCACAGTGTTTGCTGAGGGAATATTGTTTAGGGGTTTGTTTGAAGGACACATCGTCTTACAGTGTACTTGAAAGGTAGCGACAGACAACACCAAGGAGGGAGTTGGCCCTACACAGAGGAATTAGAATACACAGCGCGGCACAAAATTGCGCAGAAGTGGGCTCGGGAATGAGGATTGGGGAGGCATTTGGTATGTGGCAACTCAAACCGCCATTCGGCATTTCGAGTTAGCTGGAAAGATGAAGTAACCGCTCTTCCAGATCTTATCATCAGTGGTAGCTAGCGCGAGCCGATTTCTTACACAAGTTGATCACGGAGAGTTACCTAGGGCAGGCCAATCGATGGACATTAGAAATCTCGCTGAAGAGACTTGGGAAGTTCCTAAAAATGCACTGCAACACTATTTCTAATGCATCCGAAATTAGGGAGCACAGAATGATGTGACACCAGAAAGATTTGCAGGTTTAGCAAGCCCGTGCCTGATCTGATTCCGAGGCTTCAAGAAAAGCCTCTGCAGCACTGTTGTCTGCTTCCTGCGTTGGTGATCCATGCAACCTCCGTTCATCTGTGGCGGATGATCAATCAGGGTCTGGCTTGCGCTCATCTCTTTCTTGGAACGCCATCTGCCCTCGCTTGGTTACTAATTTTGATGCTTACAGTTTGCCGCCGTATTTGCTGTTGCTCGGGAATTTACTAGAAAACTATCTTTTTGGTTCCACAGGTACCCGAATGAGTGAGAACGAAAAGAACGAAAGATTCTTGCTTAAACTGAGAACAAAGGTGGGTTGAAAGCCTAGCGTCCGGAAAGGTGTTTTCAAGGCATTCATTTGTAAAAGTCAGGATAAAAGTGGTTACCACAATTCAGTGCGCACGATGAACATGAGACAGAGGGTCAAATGAAAAAGCCCACCGGCTATCAGTACACTACCATTCCTCCAGTAGCACGGGTGCATCGCCCATCGCTGGTGGTTCTGAGCCTGGCCTTTAAATTCGGGGAATAAAAAAGAGCACTGCTGTCTTCTGATTGTTGCTGCTGGTGTTGGCTTCGCCTCGATTGAATTATTTGGCGATGCCATAAACAACAACCACAACAAAAACTGGCCTTCCACCTGTCCAAGAGTATTAAAAAACAATACACCTGGGATAGCCAAAAGAAAGTCTGCAATGCCCGTGGCCTGCTTCAACGTGCATAGCTGTGGTAACATTCGTCAATATCGAGGATACACTGCGCCAAAACCCACCTCATCAACCAAAAAAAGAAACAACAACTTGCTGCTCCCAGGAGTTGACATATACAACACATAATTATACAGCGAGGCTCCAGACTCTCCGCTATCAGCATGCGAGGCCAGCATCGGAAGTCTTATTCGTTATGCATCACCCGTCGATTAAAGCTGATAGTAGTGCTCCGTGGATTGGTGACCATCTCCCTTACATACACCTTTCCTCTTAGATTGTTCTGGCATCGTCCAAATCACTAATAAGCTCCAGGAAAGCCAGTCCACCATCTCAGAATTTACACCCGCGCCAGCCGTTACGTGTTTAGTTACCCTTACCACGCCGCCTCTCAGCCTACATACAGTGAACTGTCCCGTCTCAGGTAGCATAGCTATATTGGCAATCTTAGCTTGACTTTGATGACTGCATTACTGAGTGCAAACCTATCCCTATACGGTCTTATTTAACCACCTGGGGTCACCGCCATAACTGTGATAGACGCTCATTTTTCCCTTTTAAAGGACTATATCCTGTCTGATGACTCCCATAACTCTCCAGACTTTATTGATATCACCTTATTCCCAAGCTTCGATCCGTGATAATACGTGCTATGGACGTCCTGTTTGACCGTCGTTCACTCCACCTGATCTGTGCATTACGAAGGAAGGGGTCCCCGACCTGAAAGAAAAAACAATAACAGCAAATACTACGCGCGATATTACATTGTTTATGCTCATCCTGAGAAATCTCCCGGGGAACGCAGAACATCCCGCTGATCACAGGATTACGCATATCAGTCTAGTTACCTCAATCACGATGTCCGTTCTGCTGCCTCTCCAGATCCATTATTCTGGCTCCAAACTTCCTGCAGTTTGACCTTTTTTTGTTTTTTTGCCAAGTTCCATGCAGAAACCTTTTTGTTATACCCTCACTCGTACTGTTTTCGCCAATCCACTTTTAAATCCTAACGATCTTGTGTCTTGTGTCATCTGATATGTTCGCCACAGGAGATGAAGGGTCCTTGTAATTTTACATCCCCACCCACGCCACCTCTACTTCGTTGATGCCCATTGTTTACGCCACCGTCCGTTTTCCAGGAAATTCCCATTATTCACAACCTCCACCAGTTATACTCTTATTCTGACTGTAGTGCTACGATCATGCCCGACTGTATACTATCCACATAGTTGGGAAGAAATATTATTGTTATTATAAGTTCAAGACATAAGTGGGATGATTGAGTTTGTCAGTGCAGGATGCGCTATGGTTGTGCGCCCAGCAAAGACTAAACATGTGAAGAAAGTGAGCTGTGCCAGCGCAACTTCAAAGTGCTGTGGCAGGGAAAATCCTGTTTAAACGGGCTAGAATCTTTCTGTTAAATGATCGGTCAGTTTATTGTCCCTGAAAGAATGGCTAATGTAAATGAGTTTTTTGGCTGTGGAGTTAATTGCACTGGTTGCCCAATAAGAATCCGGTTCAAAGGTTTCAACATCAGCTTTTTATGACACTTCTGTCTCAAAGATAGAGTGTTGTTCACAAAAATATCTGCTCACTGTCCTGCTACTGTGCAGCAAAAATAATTTCCTCATAATGGAGCGGCTTGATTAAAGAATGATGGAGTGCAACCCACCCTGAAAAGGTTCCGACACTAAGCGGGCAAGTACCTGTTTAGTGATGCAGGGTCTGTCAGGCCAGGCGCACAGCGTGATACCCGGCCAAATTCTGCGTATAGTTTACCAACTTAGATCAGTAAAGAACCACACAGTCATCGCAGCCATTATCGTTATATGATATTTTGACGCCGTGTTTTGTCGGCATAACGCTTTGTCTGCAAGTTGGACTCACTACAATTCTACCCACTTTGCTCACGCGTTCATCCTGTGTTGAACGCTAAGCCATAGCAAAGTAAATTTTATACAATTATTACTTGCTTATTTAGGGCGCTCCCTAAACAGCTGCGCTCACCCTCCCTTCCCTATTAGATTAGGCTTTTTTGACGCCTGATCTTGCCAATACCAGTGTCACTACAGCTTTCTACTTCCAAACAATCACCTCTATTTCAAAAAAACAATACTTATGCCGTCCTTGCCTGAACTGGAATCCATATAACATCTGGCAACACCCTTACGTTAGACAGGTGCTTCCTACTCAGGCACCGGCTCGTGACCAGCATTCGTGCTTACACGTGTAAACCGACGCTGTTGAAATCTGCAGTATTTAGTGAGCATATAAGTGGCCCTCTTCTCTGTAACTTGCTAGAAGAATCTTGGATTCACACAGGGCTGGCTATACTCAAAGCCTGTCTACACAAGGTGGAAGGCGAACTAGCTTCCTTTGGAGGCATGTAGCCAATTGTTTGCCTTCTAACTTCTGACGCATCTTGCGGTCAGTCAGCTTTTGGAAAATGCGTCAATTCTCGTTGACCCGCTTGCCTCTGAGATTGTCAGGATTTGGAAAGCCGTAACCAGGTATTGATATGCAATGCCCCTGATTGCATCCGGAACAGGCCCGTAAAAACAACTCTCTTGGCGGCATTTAACTCTGAACGTCAAAACCAACCTTGCGTTGCTCAATATTAGTAGAATGCGAGGATGAAAACGATGCCGTACGTCTCCTGGCATCCAAGACACTTCTTTTATTTACTCAAAAACTCAACGCTATGAAGGTAAAAGCTTCCGGTACTCGACTGCAAGGAAAGCTTGACGATATTCCACCATCCACGTCACCAAACGGATCCGTGTTTTTCACCCATTTGCTGCTATCAGTACTCTGGGCGCCACTAAGTCGCGGGTTTCACATGCAAAAAATTCTATGGGCAACCATGACTTATTGATTGCCGCTGACGCATGTGTGCGTAGCAGCGGAGGACCGAATCTAACAACCAACCCGGCATCTTATTTACTCTGACCAAGTTCTATCGGACCATCTGGTCCCCTACTACACTGAAGTCGGTCTCAGGCCAGTTGGGCGTCTGACCGCCCCTGATGATGCTGGCGTTGACGTCTTTTTCCCAGTGCCCAATGTTCCATCAATGATACTTTAAGTTCGCCTTACTGTAGCGCTAACTCGCGCCATCGTGCTTCACAATCCTTTCCGTTGGCGTCCATTAGACACACAGTGCTGTTAGCTGCAAAAGCTTTATGAGTGGAGTAAAAATTTTCCGCCAAGATGTTGCGTTTTGTTGCATATGTGCTCAAATCAAGGGCTATTCTGATATACGTTCATGTGTTCCTAACTCACCGAATTTCATTATCCTCTGTGGCAACCATATCTCTGAGAGAGAAGTTTTGTGGAAAACTTCTCCAGCACCACTGAGACCTCGAGATGCCTAAATGAGGCCCAAAAGTTTGAAATGATACTCTGAACTCAGTTGCCCGATTGTTTAGCCCATCAGTGACATATCACAACCTTCGGAAATTCCGTTCCATTGTGCGAATACCGAGCAGCTTTTCTGTCGGCACAAGGCCTAGTACGCCGCGCCTATGACCATGAGCACTACAAGTTTACCTTCGAGCACCCATCCAAGAGATCCTTGATCTCCAACATACCAACAAGATTGGACGCTGATGTAACAGATGTGTTGTCTCATCACTGCGGAGATAAAGTAGCAGTCGAGGATGCTAGCACCGGTTCACCCCTCGGTTCACCCTCTGAAATAATTTCTTTCTGTATCCCTCCCCACCAAAGTACTACCTTGGGCTGAAACACTTGCTCTTAAATCCTCGTATCCTAACGCCCTCTCACACACTAACCCTCATAACCCATGCACTTCGCCCTTCGTATACAAATCCCGAGTTCCACATAAACATGTCTGCCGCCCCTCAAACCGTTCAGTTCAAACCTTTGGCAAGATCTCCAAACTACAGTTACGATTAACCAATCTTAGCCCCTATCAAGTTCCCCCCACTTGACTACTATTTGCCTATATGACTTTTTGCCTGATATTCTTCTTCGACAACTATCCACTACACAAAAGCCTATGCCTCCCTCGAAGCCATGTGCAGGCAAAGGTCCAAGAAATTAAAACGTATCTCCTCTTCCCATTTCAAAGGCCTATATAATATAAATAACGCATAGCATTCCCGGTAAAATTTAACGGAGCCCC